GGGAAAGAATAAACCAGTTTTATTTAAGAAAGGACTTGTGTCAATAAAGTTTCGTCGGAACAAATTTATGGAAAATTAACTAACGACTGGAGGCGTCAGAGTATAAAGCCTCATTGCAAATACACTTCTGACCAATTCTTTTCTAAGTGAAGAGAAAATGAAATCTGGGGTGTTCGATGGCTCTGAAATACAGAAATTGATGAATGATGACAATTTTCTTGGTTCAATGTCAAATGTGAAGAAATGGCTTGGATATCATTCAAAAATGTTATTGAAAATTTTCTAGGAAACCATAATGCCAAAGAATATAGAAATATTATTGGCCACATGGTGAAGTACTATGAAAATGGTTGCAACATGAGTTTAAAAATGCATTTTCTTCACAGCCACTTGGAGTACTTCTCTGAGAACATTGGAGTGGTTAGTGAAGGGCAAGGTGAAAGGTTCCAACAAGGCATAAAATAACATGGAAAAACGATATCATGGAAGTTGGAATGTCATTACTATTGTTGGTCCTTAAAGAGAAATGTTTCCAAACCAAATTACAAAAATACATCTAAAATGAGGAAAAATCACCCAAATTTGATTATGTATATATAGCCAAAGAAGAGTAAGCTACTATGTTCTGTGAATATTATCGTATTACTGTTCTTTTACTCACATTTCAATAAATAAATAAAGTTCTTTTGGTGTAAAGTTGAATGTTTTTCATTTGTTTCTAATATGTTTATATCATGTGTTATATCAGTAACATTTATTATTGATTTTGTGAGAAAATCTGATGTGACAGTAAAAAAACTGGTACCAGACCTGGAATCAGCACCTCCAATTTGTATTATTCCATCTACTTTCATAGAAACAAGAAGATTTTTTTTTCATTTGTATACTGGTGTTATTTCATTAAATTGAAAAATCATAAATAAAAATTAATACAAATGATTAGTTAAAATATTAAGGAGTAGTTCTAAGTTTTGTAAATGTTATGATAAAACGTGGAAACTAAAACAATGTCATTTTTCTTCATATGAGGTTCTGGCCATCAAATTGACTGGAAATCAACAATAATTTTATACAAAACGGATAACTCCATAAGAAGAAGAATCGTCGAAAGTTGTTTAATCAAAAAAGCTTGCCTAATTTCAAAATCTTCCAAGGTCACTTTTAAACTTAACAGCTTCCTAACTTTCAGTGTCCTTAAGGGAAATCCAAGTTCTGGGGTAACGTAGGCATTTGTTGACCAGTTTTTTGTGGGTTTTTTTTCCTGCCAGAAGACTGAAGAGGACGCACGAACGTATCAAAACTAGTTTCTCTAATATCAGACTTATGACTTCACTAGTTTCTATACACGATATTGAGTTATTTTATTATTGTTATGATAACTTATAAGATTATTAATCCCCCAAAGAGGTAGCAAGAGGAGTGTTGAATATGTTCCAAAATTTAATAAACCTAGTGTTTAACTGGGGTAAGCGAAACTCATTATATTTACATGGTTTAATGAGGTATTTCGATAGAATCAAAGTACCTGTATCATTTAATACAAAGGTCGTGCTAATCTATAGAACTCAAGTACTTATAACACTTGAGTAACAGTAGCCTCAACTTATTTTTAGTACGCCCAGCGAGTTGCGTTGATTATTATTACGACATTTTGCTAACTGTCGTAACTGCTGAGTCTAACTGTTTCATATAAATAATATTTATTTCTTTACTGAACGACTGTATTTAACTTTCAGTGCTTATCAATTATAACTTAAAATATTAAAGAACACGATTTTCACTTCGAATTCAGTATTCTTAGTGATTTTGATATTTCTTCTCAAAAGCACAAGTATTAATAAAACTCATTCATACACAGTGAAACTGGCTCTTAGTGATAAATTTATTCTGCTAAATTTCATTTCTATATTTGTTTCAAGTACCCACGAAAGCTACTTGCCGTCCTTAATTTTGAACTGATAGATAAAATGGAAAGCATCAAGTCAACAGTACCCACCATCAAATCTTTTATTACTCTTATCTATTCTTTTTATAGTTGAATTTGGCTGTCCCTCTTAAAACGCACCCACAGCCCTAAAGTGCGAAGCGCGATTCTGCGGCAACAAAACACGAGCCACGAACCATCACAGTACTGCACACTAACCAGTAGGTCATACCTATCTCTTATTTTAGCATTCTGTAATGATCAACATATTGATTAAAAACTTTGGAAATTTCATAACATATAAATTATAGAAGTTAGGTCTATTCACCAGTTTTAAAGAACTGTCACGTATCTGCTTGTTTGTTAATTTCCGGTAGAAATTCTTTCTGAGGAACTTCAGTGATACAAGTCCTTTCTTGATTAAACCAGTTCATTCTTCCTCCATACAAACTTTTAGTACACAGTAATTCCCACTGTCAGTACGTTTCTCGTCACTTTCAACTTAACAACTTTTATAATACACGCTATAAATCACAGTGATTCACAATCTCGATAACTTCACTCTCTACCAGTACAAAACACACTCTATTATTATCCGAAAAACCGTAACAACTGTTCGCTTAACTACACATTCCCTTCCCGCTGGCTTTTCTCGCCAGGCTTATATACTAAAGAAGAGGGCGTCTCGAACGCACTAGGTCTCCCCCGAAAATTCATGATCTTTCAAAAAACACCTCACACATGCCACCAATGCCAATGCGCCAGCAGCGTCACGTGACTTCCGCTGTCGTAACAGAATGTTATTTGACTGCTTGAGTTATCCTTCGTAGAATAACCTGCTATATTTATGTTAAAAAGGCTATTAATATGGGAAAATAATATTAAAATATATTTCATTTAGTACTTATTTTTAAGCTTTCTAAACATTATATATTCGGATTAAAAACGTGCAGATAAAGAAAGAAACAAAATACCTGAAAGCAACTGGATTAAAGTCCAGAAGACCTGGAGCATATACCAAGTACACGGCTATTACAACCAATACCACTAAGGTCTTCAGAAGGACGCTTGTACTCCCCATGTCTGCAGTAAATGAAATCAATTCGAAGTTACAATTTTTAAAAAGGTAACTATTTAAATAGAGAAACTTTCTTGGATAGATAAATAAATAAAGGATTAGGCCACATACTATGGTAACTGGTTCAAAGTTCTGGTTAATGCACTACTAACTTACTTAAGCTCGCATGAAGAACATAAACAACAGAGAAAAACTTGAAATAAAACAAAATAACCCAAATATAAACATTCATTGATTATGAAAATTTTAGTGCTTTTGTCTCTTTGTTGTTACACATTAAGATAGACAATGGACTATCTATGCTCTGCACATCGTGGGTATCGAAATCCGATATTTTGTGTTATAGCTTGTCATATGATTGATATCAAATACTGTTTCATTTCGGTTACTTTTTGAAACATAAATTATTTAAATCCCACAACTGTTTCAAAAGGTAATGCATTTTTGTTGGCCAGACAGAAGCGTCACTAGGTGATTAATTAAAAGTCTGTGTCAGTATGATATGGATAATGGTTTTCTGTTCTGATTTCTCAGTGAAAGACTAAAGAGAAAGCAGCTAATCATAATCACCCACTGCCAATTCTTGGGCTACTCTTTTAAAAACGATTAGTGGGATTGATCGTAACATTATAAAGCTCCCACGGCTGAAAGGGCGAGCATGTTCGGTGGGACGGAGATTCGAACCTGCGACCCTGAGATTGTGAGTCAAGTGCCCTAACCACCTTAACTCTCTTCGACTATATGCAACACATTTTGAAACAAATAAAAAATATTAGGTCGTCAAGAAATTATTGTCGCTTTTTTTTAAATGAAAAAATCCAAACAATTTATATATCAAAACAAAACATTTATTAAATGAAATAGTCCCCATTGTTATGGTGCTTTTCCATCTTACAATCAGGTTGTTAATGCCCTGATTAAATAAATTACTTGGCTTCGAAGCAAGAAACATGTCGATGTCCTCTTTAACACCTTCCACATTTGCATACATTTTCCCATTAAGATGGCATTGCAGCGAACTAAAAATATGGTAATCTGATGGTGCCATATGTGGATAATATTGTGGGTGGGGGAGAACTTTCCCACCCAAGTCTATAATCTTGTGTTGCGTCAAACGTGCCACATGTGGACATGCATTGTCGTGGAGAAAAAAACACCTTTCCGATTGCTGAGGGAAAGGTTTCTGATGAATGGTTTGAGTTAAACGTTCCAGTTGCTGACTATAGATCTCTGCATTGACAGTTCGCTGTGGATTCAGGAGTTCAAAATGAATTAATCCTTTAATATCCCACTAAATGCAAAGCATCACTTTCTGCGGATAGAGTCCAGGTTTTGGGATCGGAAGTGGTTTTTTGTCTAGGACTGAGCCAATGATTTTGGCGTTTAATATTCGCATAGAGAATCCATTTTTCATCACCGGTGACAATTCTGCCCAAAAATGGTTCAAGCGCATTACGCGCCAGAAGAAACGAAGCAATATTCACACTTAGAAACGATGATCATCGAGAGTTCGTCAGATACCCAAACACATTCTTTATGGAGTTTTCCCATATTCCTTAGATGTTTACTTATTGTTTCATGAGAGACATGCAATTTCAGGGCTATTTCACGAGTGCGTTGCCTTGGGTTAGACTCAACAACAGTGTTCAGAGCATCAACATCAATTCCAACATGTTGGCAACTGCCGCCACAGTTTTTAAGGCTAAAGACACCTGAACGAATTGTGCTGAACCATCGTTGACACTTACGAATGTTCAAAACATTTTCATAAACTTCTTTGATATTCTTTGTGGTAACAGAAGTGTTGTTTCCCTTTTTGTATTCAAACAGCATTACATGCCATATGTGTGTCGCGTCGTGTGCTATCACTATAAGGTATTAGAGTATACTAAAGTTTACACATTATATAGGCTTTGTTGGCTTCAGGATCTGAGTCAAAACAATATAGATAAATATACATGCACACATCTTAAACACTTTATATAAAATACTTACTTCACAATTTTATTTATAATTGTTTGTTTGTTTTGTTTTTAATTATGCACAAAGCCACACAAGGGCTATCTGTGCTCTGAACACCACGGGTATCGAAACCCGGTTTCTAGCGTTGCAAAGTCTGCAGACATACTGCTGTGCCACTGGGGGGCTATTTATAATTAAAGTGATCCTAACTGTCAAACTGCACTTAACAAACAAAGGAACACCTATAAACTACTACGTAAGTGTACGCGGCACTCATCTTCTAAATTTGCAACCACGGTAGGCTATGTGATTTTTGAATTTGATTTGAAACAGTAGCATATGACGCACACTACAGTATAAATAAATTAGTAGCGGACACGAGTGAATGGAAGAAAAAAAACTGTTTTGTTGCACAGTTAATTAATGGATATTGCCAAGGTTGAACCTTTTTGATAGCAATTTTTAATTCTGTTCAAGTTGTGATGCATAAGGTTTAGCATATGTAGGCTAAAAATTGCTTACCTTTCTCGTTGCTCAAACTTCTTCCTTGTGTTTTGTTGTAACGAGGCGATACAACTTCGTAATCTCTAACGACGGACTGATTAGTTTGACCTTGAAAACCTTGTATATAATACTCATTTCCAAATAGCTTTAGGAACTGAAAAAGTCAGTTATTCGTGTTTTCAACTGGCGAAGGGAAATGTTTAAATCAATCTTATTCGCCTTCAGACAGCACAAGGTTTATAATCACGTGACAGGGAAACGCGTCACAGCGTCTTTCCCCTACACAGTTTTTGGCCTTTCCGTGGGAGTTTGTATTTTGTATATTAATACGTAAGTATATAATTTTATTGTTGTTGTTGTTTAGCCCGTAAATGCTTTGAACTTTTAATGTTACAGATACAGAGAGCTAATAAAGGTCCACTAATAAATATAAAATAAAACATCGAGGTCGGCACTAGATAGGTGCTGGGATGAGCGGTTCACCTCCAAATTTCACTATGATCCACCCAACTTCATTCTTCCTAGCGGTTTAAAAAATGATATTTAACAATTTTTAAAAAACTGCATGATATTTTAAATTGCAAAGAAAAGTTAACAGAAGTTCTACGTACACCCTTCGTCCCAAGGGAGAAGAGCTGGAGCTGGGCCTGCGTCTACCAAAATCTTGGGAAAACCTTTACTTTCAGTGTACTGAAACAAGTATAACTAATTGAAGAAAGAAATATATTTGTCTGTTAGCAAAGTTTTTTCTAAACTAAAAGAAGAAGGAAGATAAATACAGTCATAAATGTAAATACATATTTTCCTTTGTTTATCAACAGCTCAAAACCTTGATCTTGAGCTCCAGAGTTTCGTTGCCATTTTGTAACCTTGAAAGTGATTAATTTTAACGAAACAGAAGTTCAGACTGTGTTCGTAAGACAACTTCCAGTCTTGCACTAGTTAGCACCAGGCTGTAATACTTTTCCACCCCTTTTAGTTTAAAGGTTAAATTCACAAAATTTTTCTTTTTTTCTCTCGAAAGTATTACGTAGTAGTGTTAATTGTAATAGATATGTCTTTATGTATATTTTATTCTCTGTGTATTTCATCTATACTAAATGTATTACTCTTTTTTTTTTCATAGGCTTGGCATGGCCAGATGGTTAGAGGGCTCGACTCGCAATGTGAGGGTCTCGGGTTCGAAACACCGTCACACCAAACCTATTCGTCCTTCTAGCCGTGGGGGCGTTATAACGTGACGGTCAATCCCACTATTTGTT